TTTGAGTTTCGTTGGGATTCTTCTTATTCAAGGGTTTAATCAGGAAAAACATTGTTCACCTTTCTTAACCCTAGAACACTACACTGTTGCTATTTTGTGCCGCATAATACTGTTGACACGTAAAATTTACGTACCAAAAGCACTGTAAAGCAGGTGGCTGTAGCGTTTCTAAAGATCAGCTCCAGGGCCCCGATGTGTACAGTATTCCTTGCTCTTGCGGAAAGGTCTACATAAAACAAACAGGGAGGCACAACAAGATGAGATTAAAGGAACACAAAAAAGTCACCTTAAAAATAACAACTGGTAAAAATCGGCAGTAGCAGAGCATAGGGCGCACACGGGACACACAGTGGATCTGAATGAAGTCAACATAGTGGTGAGAGAGAGAAAATTTTGGTCCCGACTATACTATAAATAGTGATAAAATTAGTAGATCTCCAGTTTCAGAGTGACTTCTGAAGAAGAGAGCGATATGTCTCTCAAAACGTTAAAGAGTTGTAAATAGACGACGTGGCAACCAGCCCGGAAATCATTCAACCGTTAATGACAGCCACGGAAGCCTACAAACAAAACCCAAATCAAAATCTTGTAAAACTGAAATTAATAGAAAACCTAAAAAAACGCTCTATTTAAAAAAAATATTCTAAAACCATAAGCGTACTACAAAAAAATTAAGTGGGTCCATGGTTACTACAACCTCCTTTCCTCCGTTCGCGCTTTGATATTTTAAACCAAAATTACCCAGAAAGTGTGCCGACATAAGATAAAAATATGTGCCAAATATCGAACAAATATCTCCAAAAGCACTGGAGATATTCATAAATATAATTTTTAAAATTTTGATTGCTGTATTTTGAAAATGGAGCACCAAAATAACAAATGGCATAAGACAAGTTCCTTTATTTTAGTCCAAAGAATGTGTGGTTAATGGCTTGACCTACTAATTTGTAACACCCTGTTTAAAATATTCACTGTCATTTCTTCGTCAGTAATACCATTCTATAAGTAAATATTTACTTATAGACAAGGCGAAAACCTCGCATTCGTGGGAGAAATTTTCCGACTCGATTTTTTTGCATAATCAGATTCGTGAGATGTTCCTTAACATGAATCAAGATGATGCCGGCCGGAAATCTGGTGCCCATTTGTTTAGACAAACTTTTCTTAAACAATTTGTAAAAATTGATCTTTTCACTCCGGAAAAAAGTTTTTTTGGCACATTATGAACAAAAAAGTTCCTATGCACTATGCCTCTAAAATTGATAGTTTTAAGGTTATAAACAATTTAAGTTGCTAAAAATGCGAAAATGACGGTTTTCAACGGCCGATTTCCGGGTTAAAAATTGTTATTTTTGATGTTGCCAGGTACCTAAATTAAAGTTTAAACATCCCCCTACAAGATGCTGAAGAGTTTTTGGGAATCGCATTATTCTAAAGCCTTGTTTTTTAATTGTTAATAAAGCGCTATGAGCCGCGCGCGCGACTTTCTCATACGCGGATTCGCTATTTCGTCTAGCGGCTTCAGCTTACCTGTATGTTTTATATCTGAATTAAGCAACAAAGAGTTTGATGAATTGCAAAGATTATACCTACCTAAAAATGTTAAGTATGCAAGGCAAAACAGCCAATGAAGCTAGAAAATTAATTTTCTCTCATTGTAGCTTTTGTAGCGGAATGGGTATTAATTTAAGTAAAATACCATGCACTTCCGATGCATTGAAATTACACGTCTTAAGAGCTTCTTTAGAAACGTACGTATGGAAAAGTTCTATTTTTCCTCAATATCAATATTTGAATTTCGCAGCTTTTGGTTATCAAAATGAAACAGGTGAATTATTACCTAAATTTATTACCAAAGATCCATTACCCAAAGACTTAGTTAAACAATGTAAATGTACAAAAAACTGTAAGACTAAAGCTTGTACTCGCAGGAAAATATATGTCACTTGTGTACCTTTATGTTTTATGTGGTTGTAACATAGAACAGTGTGATAATTCTTATGATTGAATAAATGTGTGATAATAATAATAATATGGCAGAATTAAATAAATGTTCTTTAATAAAAATCAAATATATTTTATACTATTGCCCAGGGGATGAAAGCGCCCGAAAAATTCGGTTTGTGGAAATAACTTGTTCCCAACATAAAGCCCAATACCCCCCCCCACAAAAAAAAAACAGTACTTTTTAAATGCCGGACAATAAACTCTAAATCCAAAAAAGCCCCAGTAAAAGCGAGTGCTGTGCTTTATAAACAATATAGAAGAAACCTACCACTGTGTATACTACATTCGCTTTTCCTTGGGTTTTTGAGTTTTGGGTTTCTTGTTTATATTGTTAAAAAAGGCCTTTCAAATTTCGCCTATATGATGTCAGAGTTTATTAATTGTAAATGTTCATGTACTGTACTCAAAGTACATAGTCCTTGTTTTATTTCAATAAATTTATGTTATTTATTTATTTATTAACCTTTTAGAGGACCGGCATTTAACAAGTATTCAAGAAATTTTGACTTTTCGGTTAGAACTAACCCTTAGATTATGCCCTGCTATTGCCCTTTTATTTTTTTCTGCACTCTATTCGTACAATTTTGAAAACTATTATGAATTATGAAATTTAAATAATAAATTTTTACATTATTTTATGAGTAGTAATAGTACTTAGAATGCTAAATTCAAAGAACATAAGCTGCCGCTAGACGAAATAGCGAATCCGCGTATGAGTGAGGCGCGCGCGCGTCTCATAGCGCTTTATTATAACAATTAAAAAACAAGGCTTTAGAATAATGCGAGTCCCAAAAACTCTTCAGCATCTTGTAGGGGGATGTTTAAACTTTAATTTAGGTATCTGGCAACATCAAAAATAACAATTTTTAACCCGGAAATCGGCCGTTGAAAATCGTCATTTTCGCATTTTCATCAACTTAAATTGTTTATAACTTTAAAACTATCAATTTTAGAGGCATAGTGCATAGGAACTTTTTTGTTCATAATGTGTCAAAAAAACCGGAGTGAAGAGATCAATTTTTACAATTTGTTTAAAAACAGTTTGTTTAAACAAATGGGCACCAGATTTCCGGCCGGCATCATCTTGATTCATGTTTATTTTTATTTTATTTTATACACCACCCAACAGAAAATTCCATTTACAGGATGGATAGAAACAGAAAAATACAATACATTTAATAACTAAATAACATAATACAAAAAAAAAGATGTATACTAACTTACTTAACCTATGTAAAACACCATGAATATAATGCATGTTCACTCAATGATTATTATTAGTTGACACGTTTGCAAATAGGTCCAAAGACTCTTGATGGTTATTATAGTAACTGCACATTAGGTACATAGGAGTATTTGAGAATATTCGTATGAGGAGTTGATAAATAAAAACACTGATCATGCCCGAGTTATACATATTAGATTTGTTACAGTTGAACGACCTTTCATGAAACCATGTTGTTGAGGAGATAAGGCACCTTTTACATGGTTATATAATGGTTTATATAAAACAATTTCAAAGCACTTTGAAAAGTTGCATATAATTGTAATGGGCCGAAAATTAGTGATTTCATTTTTTTTACCTTTTTTAAAAACAAGACATACTTTGGCTCTTTTCCAACAGGATGGATAAGTATTAGATTTAATTGCAAGATTGAACAAAATACAGAGAGGATTAGCAAGTACATAGGCACAATCTTTTACAAAGAAGGCTGGAATGCCATCCGGTCCTGTGGTAAATTTAGGTTTCAATTGTTTTAGTGCTTGTATTACTTGTTGGTCACTAACTGAATCTATTAATAAAGTACTGTTGGTTCTAATGACTCTCACTTTCACAGGCTGTTACTTTATTATTAGAAAATGACTTTACAAAAAAATCTAGAAAAAAATGTTAAGGAACATCTCACGAATCTGATTATGCAAAAAAATCGAGTCGGAAAATTTCTCCCACGAATGCGAGGTTTTCGCCTTGTCTATTATACAATGGTAATACCTAGACCTACGACGGAGCTAATATAAGAAATAAATAAATTACCTATTGTTCTTATACACAGTGCTGCAAACTTTGAACAAAAAACAAACTGCATTTACTAGAAAAAAATCAATAGTTCAATTTTAATGCCCTGAAGGGCGTAAATCGCTCTCTTTTATTTTCGTTTTTTTTTTAAGAAAATCAACTAAGTAATTTTCTTTCATAAATACGTGCATTTTATTATTAGCTATTTTACTTCATTATTGTTGTCATTTATTTATTATTATATTTATTAAGTATATTTTTACTCTTTATTAAGGATTTCAACAAATCCTATCAAATGAAGTCAAGCAACATTCTTCGATACCAGAAATCTACGTATGCAAAAAACATCAAACCTTAATAAAGAGAAAAAAAATTAACTAAATAATAAAGATCATAAAAATATCATAATAAACTGTGTTGTACATTATCTCGGTTATTTTATCTAGATTAATTACCTATCTAAATAAAATCTACTCTTCCTCTCACACTTATTCAAGCCAACAGTCTTCCATTCTACCACATGGTAGTTCTAAGGTGCCTGCTTTTCCTCTACGAGCACAGCGAATCTACGATGTTCCGGCAACGAGTTTCGAACCCGCGGTCTATCTACATTGATTCAACCGTTAGGCCACAGACCGATATACAAAAGTTCATAGTTATTTAATTGCAATGAAAAATGAATATGTATTTCGGAAATTATTACATAGAAATGAGTATATAAAATATGCTCCATGAGAAATATTAAAATCATTCTTGAATATGCTGAATTTAATGAATTAAACACAATTAAATCAGTGTTAATATATTTATTATAAAATCAAGTCGATAGTTATTGTCAAAATAGAGGTATTTGAACAACATTTAAAACTTAGAGTTATAAGTTATTTGCTTAGGTATATTTGGTACTTAGATTAAACATATAAAACTTTTTAAAAAGTGTTTGTAAAATATACAAAATACATTAATCACATTTTGCTTAATAATACTTCGGTTCATTGAAACCACAGTCGTTTTCTTTGCATCGAATCATGAAGTGTCGAGGTATAGTGGCTCCATTTACCCTGGAATATTGTGACCTATTTTCAAAAAAATTTGCAATTCCACGTTGTAGTATTGCATGCTGAAATAACCAATTAGATTTTAAATTCTGATCCAAATCTAAAATATTTCTATTTTGATAAATAACTTTTATGCATTTGTTTTCTGTCTTGAAAGTAGGTAGTTTTTTAATATCCTGAAAGACCTGAAACAAATATACAAGTTTTGTTAAACAGAATGTCCTCAGATATCCTTAAAGTGTGAGTAAAAAAATTGGTTACAATTTAATATTTCGGCGAACTATTTCTTTAAAAAAAATAATTAAATTAGTTACTGCTTTTCAGCAACGAAAAAATTGTTTCTATCACTCCACACAGGTATGTGAAAATTTTTTTAATTTTTTTGAATTGGAAAATAAAATAAAAATTACGAGAGCTAATAATAAAATATACAGGGTGTTCCTAAATATCATGTACATAAGGAAGGGGGTAATTCTTTGGCTTATTTCATGACTAAAAGTTCATATAAAAATAGGTCCACAAACGCTTCGTTACCGATCTACAGGGTGTTGAAATTTTTTTAGTTTTTTCTCTATAGCTCCCAAAGTTTTTGAGATATTTAGCTCAAATTTGGAATATAGGTTACGCTGTAGGGCTTACATCATTGAACATGCCAAATAGTCGTAATATTCTACAGAGTGATATTATTTCTGGGTTCATCCGCCCTTTTCTTCCCCTGAACTTTTGTGCGGTGCGCCGCAGGTAGATTCTAAAATCAAAATTGAATTTTATGTTTTGTTCAAAAACTTTTTTGTCTTATGATTTTTTCGTATCTGCGACCGTTATCGAGAAAAAAAAATAAAAGCGATTTTGTGTAATTCGTTAAATAAAATTTAAATTCTTAAAATGGTCCAGTAGGCTCTGGCTTTATTAAGATGATAATCTCTTGTTTCTATTAATTTTGATAGTTTATTCGCCACTACCTGTTAAAATTTAAAGCTGGGTCACCCGGTTTTTGTAGCAATGATTTATTACAATATAAAAAACCTAAATAATAACCATAACAAGGAAACTATGTTACAACAATAATTGTTGAAAGTGGCACCTATGAATATTTGAGAATATTCGTTGATCAGATATCATTCTATTGGGATAGCTTCTCTTACATAAATTTCCATTAGCAAGGCCATACGTGAAATGCATTTCAGCCATTTCAAAATTCGTAAAATTTGGCATTGTTATGAGATTATAATGAGTATTTAAACACTTTTACACCTTACAGTTTATAACATAAACCTTTAATTTTTAAACATATGCAGACCCAAGTTACGATTTCAAATGCGAACTGTCAAAATTAATAGAAACAAGAGATTATCTAAATAAAGCCTACTAGACCATTTTAATAATTTAAATTTCATCTAACGAATTACACGACATCATTTTTTATTTCTTTTTTCTATATAACGCTCGCAGATACGAAAAAATCATAAGAGAAAAAAAAGTTTCTCAACAAAACATAAAATTCAATTTTGATTTTAGAATCTACCAGCGACGCACCGCACAAAAGTTCAGGGGAAGAAAAGGGGGCATGAACCCCGAAAGAAATCACTCTGTAGAATATCACGACCATTTGGCATGTCCAATGATGTAAGCCCTACAGCGTAACCTATATTCCAAATTTGAGCTAAATATCTCAAAAACTGTGGGAGCTATAGGGAAAAAAACTAAAAGATTGGTAACGAAGCGTTTGCGGACCTCTGTTATATGAACTTTTAGTCATGAAATTAGCCAAAGAATTACCCCCTTCCTTAAGTACATTATATTTAGGAACACCCTGTATATACAGGGTGTTCGCAAATTTCACCGACAACGTTTGACTGCATATGCACCACGATAAATAAATACGATCCACCAAAAAAAGTTAAATAAAAACTTTTTGGTTTTTAAGTTACAGGCCTTCAAAGTTGTCAAAAATAGAACTAATTTAATTAATTACTTCATAACCCTTTCACAGATCGCATTAAAATTTGGGACATTTATTTCGACCATTATGGCATATTATTTCTTAAAGTTTTAATCAAATCGATATACTGGATATTAGTTTTCTCCGGTTACCTCTCCCTTTTAGCGGCCAAAACTTTTACAGTGGTCGATTTTTTTTTAAACGGACAGGAATATTGAAAAGGTCGTTTTATTAAAAAAAATAATGTCTCCTGAGAAAATCACCTACAGAAAGCCATTCTTGAGAAAAATGGCATTATTTGCAGATCTGAACGTTTCGGTTTGCGTATCAGTTATCACGGATTTAAAACTTTGAGTTCAGTAGGCGATGAAAACAAGATGTTGATTGCTGTGGCTATCAGGTAACGTTATTATTGTCGTGTTTCTTTAGGATTCTCATCACTCCACATATGCAAATTATGAATGTCCGCACTCACTGCGGAGTCCGCAGTGTATCAAAACAGTTAAACATTTTCATAATTTGCATGTGTGGAATGATGAGAATGCTAAAGAAACACGACAATAATGACATTACCTGATAGCCACTGCAATCAACATCTTGTTTGCATCGCCTACTGAACTCAAAGTTTTAAATTCGTGACACTGCTACGCAAACCGAAACATGCAGACCTGCAAATAATGTAACTTTTCTCAAGCATGGCTTTCTCTAGGCGATTTTCTCAAGAGACAATATTTTTTTTAAATAAAACAACCTTTTCAATGTTGCTGCCCATTTTAAAAAAAATACGACCACTGTAAAAGTTTTGACCGCTAAGAGGGAGAGGTAACCGGAAAAAACTATACTGGGTGTATATCGATAATTTTTATTTAATTTCTTTTCGTAGATCGTATTTATTTATCGTCGTGGATATGCAGTCAAACGTTGTCGGTGAAATTCGCGGACACCCTGTGTAGTAATAAAATAACGAACGTTCAAAAAAAAACGTGGTCAAGTTGGTTCCGAAAATTTGGACGTAGGGCGTAGCGTATAGTAAATGAACTTAAACGTCATCTGTCAAAGCGCTATATCGCCGCTATCAATTTGAATATTTTCGTTTTAAAAAGCGTTTAAAATGGTGTTTTCTCAAGAACAAAAAGTGTTTATCATAGAGTCCTACTTTAGAAATGGACGTAAGATTGATGGAATATGGAAGTATTCTATTGAGGAATGTTTCATAGAATTTCAAAATCAATTTCCCGGCGTTGTTGAGTACAAAATTTTTCAAAGTGCAGTTCAGCGTTGTGTTAATGTTTTTCGTGAAACGGGCAGTGTAACAAGAAAAGAAGGAAGCGGCCGACCTAAAAAGCGGACTGAAGAATTAAAAGAAAATGTCCAACAAATAATGGAAAATGCGCCAAGAACTTCTGTACGTGTTTTATCACAAATGGTGGGAGTATCAGTCGGTACCTGCCACACAGTGTTAAAAAAAGATTTGCGTTTGTTCTCCTATCGTTTAACTTGTCAGCAAGAACTTCATGAAGTTGATTTTCCGCGACGGGCTGTATTTTGTGAATGGTTTTTAAACAACTACGGTGAACTTCATAATATCACCTTTTTTTCTGATGAAGCCTGGTTTCATTTAAGTGGTTACGTAAACTCACAGAATATGAGAATGTGGTCTTCTGAAAAACCAGATAACTTTTTTGTCGAGGGCCCTCTACACGCTCAAAAAATTGGAGTTTGGTGTGCTCTCAATCGAAGGAGGATTTATGGACCTATTTTTTTTAATGGTACTCTTACTGCGCAAAGGTATAGAGAAGAAATTATCGCTCCTTTTGTTAACCAGCTGGAAGAAAACGAAATTACAAACTTTTACTTTCAACAAGATGGCGCAAGGGCACATACGGCAGGCGAGACGATGAATATGTTGAGGGAAGTTTTCCAAAATCGACTAATAAGTCTCAATGCTGAACATGAATTTCCACCGAGGTCATGTGATATTACGCCGTGTGATTTCTTTTTGTGGCCTTACCTTAAAAACACTATTTTTGAACTGCCTATTCCTGATTTAAACCATCTGCAGGCTCGACTTATAGACAAGATTCGTGAAATTAACAATACCCCGAGCATCTTAGAAAATGTCTTTAATTCTTTGAGGAACAGGTGTGAAAAGTGCTTGGAACAAGGAGGGGGACACTTTCAGCAGCTGCTTTAATTTATTGTTATAACAAGGAGGGGGACACTTTCCGCAGCTCCTTTAATTGTTTGTTATTGTTATCACGATTATTCTTTAAAATAAAGTTATATAGTCATTAACGTTATTGAAACTGACAGCTGCTATACAGCTCGTTGAGAAATGAGGTTAAGTCGGTCGCTATAAGCTACTCCCTACGTCCAATGTGTCAGAGCCAACTTCGACCACGTTTTTATTTGAACGCTCGTTATAATCATTAGGGATTCTTCTACTAAAAATATAGCTACATAGACGAAAAGTTAGCCAATTACTGACCATACTGATTATGATCGGTAAATAATAGAATCTACATATAAATTATTTTTATTATTTAATGCAGGACCTAATATTTTTCACAATTTGGGTCCATTAGCAGACTGTTATCAGCAGTGTCAGTAAATTTTGATCTTCATGTATCAAATATCTACTAGATTTTAAACGGAAACAAAAATTTTTAGTTTGTGTAAAAAAATTGTTGTATATTATAAATTGACAAAATTTGGAAGCTATCTGTCTTAGTACTTAACGGGTCACGACAGCTTATGTAAAAATGTTGACTTTTCTACGAAGAGCCTGTATGAAAATAACATTTATAAAACATCGTCAGCAATAGATGAAAATGAGAATATCAAATAATGCATTGTTTCTTTATTGCAACCGAAAACGTATTTGCATAAATGCAAATCAGATCAAATTCATTTGAACGTTTTTTTGTACATACTTAAAAATATTAAAAAAGAAACTTCAATAAAATGAAAACAATCAATTTAATAAAAATGCAATCAAAATAATTTTATTTGTACTTCCTTTTTTCGGTCTAATTTGACTGTAATATAAAGAGGGTATGTCGAAATAAATATAGCCAACTTATAACAGAAATACAAAATCAGTTAAATTACTATTTTCCAGAAATTAATATACATGGTATCCCACAAACTCTTCCATATCTCAGATAAACTAAATAACACAAAAGAAGTGTCCCAAATGTCACACTAAATCAGTTTCTCTGTATTTTAAAATTAGTTTTGATTATAGAGAATATTAACCTAATAACCTAACTTCATTTATTCAAATATAACACCCTGTATATTACTGCAATTTTTTCGTTGAACTTAAAATCTACTTTGGTATAGAAATGTTGTATTGTTCCGACATTATGCCATGTTTTTTTCGAAAATGAAACATTTGCAGCATCGAAAATATCAAATATGACGTTTAGAAGTTCCCTGTTTTCAATATCTTGATTTTTTTAAATGAAGCCCCCATATTAAATTTGACAAAAATAGAATTTCAAAATTATGTTAGCATTGTTTAACGTAAGTTTATAATACATCTTCCCGTTGACTGAATTCGTCAACGGATGATAGATAGACCGTTGGCTGACCGTTGATTTTCTCCTTAATTTTTATGTCTACTCTCTTAAATTACCTGAAATTTGTATTCCAGATTAGAAATAATATCCAAGTAACGGTCCAAGCTTTGAAGTAATGACTCTGAGGACATAGATGAAATACCACTTTCTGATGACTGAAAGGATGAAGTAGATAATGACGAAGGACTAGGACTTTTTAGTAAAATTTCTCCATAATTAAAAACACATTGTATATCTTCTGTAAATTGTTCACGAGGCAAGCCGGACATAACCACAGCAGCTGACAACGCCATTTGGTACCTATAACGGCAATTAATTTTACATTATTATTTAAATATTATTATAGAGGGCACTTGGAGATTTTATACAAAGTATGTAGTTTACCAAGCAGAGGAATTCTAAATACAACAATCATTTAAGACACTCATAGCATCTCACATCCAGAGGACGTCCATTTTAAATTCACTTCAGGTCTTAGACTAGTAGGGACGTCCAGGGAATGTCTAATACTGCAGTGCCCTTAGTATCATGTACATATTATGTATTCAAGTCTCGTTTAAAAATAACACAAAAATTAAATGAATAAACGAATTACTTTGCAATAGATGATATGCCATACAAAAATTGTTCAAAGTTGTTTTCATGTGCTGATAAACAGGCTTCCAAACAACAGTCAAATCAGGAAAATCTTTTGTTAATAGCTCTTGTCTGTAGACTGAGATAGAAAGTGTATTTTATGTCTTAAAAATATGAGGTATTTGTAAATTTCCAAGACTTACTGTATTTTACTGATTTGAAATCGAAATATTTGAAAAAAAAACGAAATTTTAGAAATCCGTCTTTGTTTCATTTCAGCTTTGTTTGAGGTGATATTGAAAAAAGAATAACACTTTCTCATAGCAACTTTTTGCCCTCTATCGAATGTCATAATCAATTTTTATATGGAACGCTTCGTCTCTCCAGGACCATCATCAATTTCAATTTTTTAAATACGACCCTGGAAATTTTATTACATTTTTTGCAAACCTTCATGACCCCCCAACAACATAGAAATCTAAAATAAAAATTATACAATGTGTCTACGGATTGAGTGCACGTGGGATGTAAATGACAAAAAATTTTGAGTTGAAATTTGTGCTTCTGGGTGTCATGTCTGCTTGACCTTAAAATAGGAAGTTGAAAAAATTAGTTCAATTAATTAAAAAAATTGTCAAGAGGAAAGTAAAACCTACCTTTGTTTTAAAAAATTTCAAAAATATTTACTTAAGTTATTGAGAACTAAAAGTTATGACAAATTGTAAATTTTCTATTGGATCGGCCAACTTAGTTTTTTTTATTTTTCACAACCACAAAGTACAAATTCATAATTATTTATTAGAGAAAAAAACGTAACTAATATAATAAACATAAATAAACAAATAATATAATGGTTATTCAAATGTGCTGCCACCAACCATTGCACATCGCTCAGCGCACTTGGTAAATTATGTGTAGGCGTTTTGCATTTCTTGAATGGGGATGGCATTAACTGTATCTTTTATTCTTCGTTTCAATTCAAATAAATCGTCATTCAACGGGGACCCATAGACTTTCTGCTTGACATAACCCCATAAACAAAAGTCCATTAGAGTTAAATCAGGACTTCTAGGAGGCCAAGAAATTGGGCCATTTCGCCCAATCTACCGCTCAGGAAATGGACCATCTCATTCTCGAAAGATTCATGTAGAATGCGCTGAGTGACCATCTTGTTGAAGAAAGTAAAGAAAAAAAACAAAGTTGGCCGATCAATAGTTCTTTCTTCGAAAACCATGGGTCCTTGTAGAAGCTTTATTCAAGTTTTAAAAAGTGCCCTTAGATTTAATGTAGGTATACAATAATTTCTTACAGAGATATCGATGATTAGAGTGTTATTTTTCATTCAATCATCGATTTCTTATTTTGCGCCCATTTTTAATGCATATATCTATGTTTTCAATTCGCTGTTGTTGTAACTTTATAGGAAATTATTAAATAAACAAAAAATCAAGGGCAATTTTTTTTATTTATGGCTTTGTTTTAAAGTTATAGCGAAAAATGTGCCATTTTTCGGAATATTTTGCAATAGACAAAGTCGCGATCTCATTCTACATAATATTTAACTTCAAATCCACCTCAACTGCTCTGCCGCCTGGACTAATAGATATATTTTATTTCTTATAATGACTAACATAGTCTACTACGTAATGTGGTGGATTTGAATTGCTAAATTTGTAAATAAAGCGTGTATGTATCGTTTCCCAATAAAGTCTACCTTTTACTTCCTACCATGGTACCATTAATGAACTTTCTGTGGGGCATACAAAAAATGATTTTTATTGTCCTGAGAATTATCCATGAATTTTAGAATTGACTAATTATCTGCCACAAATTTTTAACCTTTTGCTGATACAATTTGTTTGCATTCAACGTTGCTCTTTAGGTACTTTTAGGTTTTTCGACTAGTAACATCATTTACACGTTAGCTCGATTTTAGACTACAAAATTTTTTACACAAAATTTGTGTAGGTACCTACATATTTGTTCCAAGAAGTATTTTAACTTATAATACACAGTTGTTAAGTTTTCTATGAATATTACATGCTAAAATATCAGGAAAATATTTGTTGCAACAAATGTGTACACAAATTTTGTATAAAAAATATAGCAATGTAAAACAGCCCTAACATACATATACATATAATTATTTAATATATTTTTTTGTAATAATATTGTTTAATACATACATAAAATCTAATGTGGTCTACTTACCTCAATTTTGTTGATTATAAGTTTATATCCAATGTTTTTATAAATATTTGTGGTCCCGTTAAAAGTCAAAATTTGAAAAGATACGGTAATACGTTTAAATACTTTAATAAACAAACGAAAATTTCAGAAAGCAAATTGATTAAATTTAGTAAACCTTTGAAATTATTATTAAAATTGATACGGGCCTTACTTTTAAATGGATTAGTAAATTATATTAATTAAAATTAACATATCTTTTATTTACTTATCACTTCAAAACATGTTCACATGGCACAAAACAAGAATGTGTATACCGTTGAGGAAAAAACTAATTTCGTTCTCTTTATCGACAAATGTTTTTGTGTCTTAAAAAACGAGTTAAAGATGCCTCGATTTTTGACCGATATCTATTCAGCTGCTGTACCAAAAGCATGTGTAAAGACGATTAGTTTTATGTTCAAGAACTTATGATGTGATTAAAAATTTTTCATCTTGATCGTGAATTATCTTATACCATCTTTAATAGGAATAAAATTTGCCATGGTTCTTGCAGCACCAGCGTTATTAATTATTATAGACAATCCAATAGAATTAGAACCTAAAACCTGAAAATTTAAACAAATTATTAGTAGACATTTTATTGCACTTTTATAACGGGAACGGTATGTCGAATAATATCAAAAAAGTAACTCGAAAGAAGTGACGCTAAGTTGGCAAATTGCAAATAAATTGCAAAATTACGTGTTTTTCACTTTTTAAGGTACCAAAAATCATTTTTTACCTATTTGTTAACTGTAAAACAAAGGTCGAACGCGGAAAAAAGTTTTTATTATTGCAAAAAGCAATTAATTGATGTTGATAAAATTTATGGAAAAGACGGGGTCATTCTAATGACCAAAGGTCGATTCGATTGACCGCGAAATTGTTGCTCTAGGTATTTTTTAATTAATTTCGTTCATGTTTTTGTAACTAATTGATTAATTACTAAACGTTAATTTCGTAAATATAGGTTCTAAATGATCCAAAAAACATATCGAAAAAGAAAAATTTCAGAAAGTTGAAAAGAAGGTGCTCTTAACTAACAAAGTAGGAGTGAAAAACAGCGTTATAAACAAATTGTCCCAGGGTCAGGCAAATGCCGCTCGGAAATTCGCTCTTTTTGCATTAAGTAGACCTTATTTTTACGGTAATTAAAAAAAAACAGAAATCACCTACCTACCTACCTTTGTTCCCAAGATAGTTTTTTTTATAAATGTTAATATGTTAATTACGTATCAGAACAGGATTTTAGAGACAATTAGAGAAAGGGTTAAACTTTTATTTTTACATTAATAGTTCATTTAAATTATTTAAATTACGATGTGTCATACAATACTTCTGATTATTTTAGAGAACACATATCTCAAAATACCTACATCTTTTCTGGAGACGCAATATGTTGAAAATGTATTTATTTATTTTTCAGTATAATTCATAGCTGACTTTTCTTAAATACAAATACCTTATGGAAACGCATTTTTTGGCCGAAGGAAAAACTTACGTCAATGTTTCTCCAATTTCTTGGATATTTTGTTGTAATTTCCTTTCACATTACTGAACAAAATATGTTTCTTTGTATTTCCTCATTTGTAGTACCTAGTATATGAGAATTTAAAAGGAAAACGGAGATGTATTAGAAAGAAATGGAGAAACTGACTGTGGCAAAGGTGTAAGATCAGATATTAGATATACCGTTTAAAATTTTTTTGAACAATATCCCAAAAGCTACAAATAATATTATCCACATAAGTATCCTTAAAGAACATAGGGATCTAGTAACATATTTTTTTTGACACCAGTAATAAAATCGCTTTTTCCTCCAAGGCTTCGGATGAGACAATACCATATCTTCGTGCAACTTTGAAGATTAGAAAGCAAAATAATAGAATATATAAATAATGTTTACATTACTCTTCATAGGTCTGCCACTTGTGAAGTAATTAAATTCTAGTTTCTGCTCTTTTACATACCTATATAGTAGGCAAGACTATTATAGGTATCTCAAAAAATGTCATGCTTCAGGAGAACCATTTAAAGTTTTCAAAATGAATTTTATTAAAATACACATTAGATTACTTCCTATTTCTATAGTACCTATAATAAACACGAGGAACATGTCAATCATGTTTAGATTCTTTCCCCAAAAAAGATTCATAGACTTTTAAAGATCATTTTTGTTAAAACAGGAGCTTTTATGAAAAACTCCCTTGATTTAAAGAATTGTTATTGTCCAAATTACAGCAAAAGATGTATTTTAACTTTATTTCAAAAACAAGCAAATTTGACATCTCGATATCACTTGTTAGGGTCTCTTCTCAGTAGGTACAAGGGCGTCGCCAGCTAATGGGCGAGGAGGGGGAGCAAGATAAGAGAGAGGATGGGAGAAATATAAATTATAGGTAGAAATAGGTAGGTACAGTGAATTTTTTTAGAAATATTTTTAGTAAATCATTTTTAATACAAAAAAACAAAAAATATAAATAACTAAAAAAAAAGAAATTCAACGAAAATTAGATAAAACATCTTCCCGAATTTTTTGAAAATCTGTCTACCCATTATTAATAAAATCTTGGATGTCAAAAATAAGCTTTCTGTGTATACTCATCATTGCTAAGCCATTGAGATGATTTTGTACCATAGTATTTCTCAGCCAGGTTTTTATTCTTTTTTTTTAATTTAAAATTCCAGAGCTAAATTTTTAAAATATGGAAATGTATTAAATAAAATTTTATATTTGTAAGCTCTTTTGTCAACAAATATTTATACTAATTTATAACAATTGTTTTTTAAAAAAAGTAAAATAGTGTATTAATTCTCAAAATTAAAGTTTAAGTAAATAAAATATTTTATTAAATATTTCCAATCTAATATTTTCTTAGCTTATGAAAATTTTTGTATTTTTTTCGAACTTTAGGGGGGGCTTACGTTCTTAAAAATTATTACTAGACTACTGTTAGAACTTTGTTAAGTAGGTACCTACCTAATCAGAACACATTAGATACCCAAATTTTTTATTGTACCAATGTATTTTGAAATGAAAGGCAAAGTCGACTTCCCTAAACCACTAGTCCCGTTAACTTTTTAGTTATAACAGTATTGTAAATTTCCTCTCTTCAAAAAAAGAAACTGGTAGTCTTAGAAATAGTTAAACTCAGAGTTGTACCTAAATTCTTCTGTAAATTTTTTAATTTTTGACTAGTAAATTTTAGGTCCCCACCATTAAAGCAACAATCTTCCTTCATAAACAAATTAAACAAAAAATAAGGAATAAACATGTAACAATAAAAGTAAGAATACGCGACTTCACAATGCTTAGATGCAACTGCCTTTCTCATAGTTCGCGGAAGGGGAGGGCAGATGTCATGCAAAATGCTCTGACGCCTTGAATGAATTCTGTCAATAGAACTTAAAAATCACAGTTTTTGAGATGTAATAGTCTTCTTCTAAACCGACGATATATTCAGGATGTTATTCAGTAACTCCTTTTCTTATCAAACCCTTATTTTTAGTAAGAGAAAAAAATTACAAATTTTAAAATTATTGACATATCTAGAGTGAAACATAACAGTTTTGATAAACGTTATTCTAACAAAAAAAGCTCTAGAAACATAGATTGCAGAATTATTATTTAATTTATAATAATTATCTAGGAATTAAATAAATTTTTTTAATAATACATTTTTTAATTATGATTGTAAATTTTTGAAATATTTTGACGCATCCGGCTATATTTTGCTGCCATGTGAACATAGTGGGAATATCGTTTGCGTCAAAGCCCAAGAATCATGATCATAAAATATATGATAACAAAAAAAAATATAACCTGAAAAACAGTAAACATCAGTTTTTATAAAAGTAACAATTTAACTAAATATGAGTGCAGTTTATAAAAGAAGATTACGGCAGGTGAAGCTAGTCATTCTATATTTGACATGTCGTCTCAAAAAAGTATCTATGTCAACTAAGGAAATAAATGAAGTAAAGAAAAAAATAACTTTATTGTATGTGATTTATAAACGTTTGAAAAATAAAATTAGTGTGAGTAAAGTGTGGGTTAGGCCAGCATACACCGTAGAGCAACGACTGCTGCAAGGAGACAGTGATAACCTGCTGGTTTTATTAAAAACTGACCGCTCAATGTATTTCAACTATTTGAGGATGAATGTTGAAACCTTTGAAGCTCTTCATACTTTGGTAAGGCCTGTAATTGAAAAAAAAAAAACAGTTGTTCGGGAACCAATTTCTTCAATTACACGACTGCAAATTACCTTGAGGTATTTGGCTTCAGGCGATTGCATGAGGTCTATAGCTTATGCTTTTAGATGTGCTCCAAACACTGTTTCTGAAATAGTGCATGAGACATGCCAATCTATTTGGCTTCAACTAAAAGAATTAGTTTTGAAAAAACCTAGCAGCAAAGAGTGGCTTGAAATTGCTGAAGACTATGAAAGTATTTGGCATTTCCCGCATTGCATAGGAGCAATTGATGGAAAGCACATTGTTATGCAGGTAATCACTTTGATAATTTTTATAACTAATTTTTTTACCAATGTTAATTTTATATTGCAGGCGCCAGCCAATAGCGGTTCTATTTATTATAACTATAAAAGAACTCATAGTTTCAATTTAACTGGGGTAGCAGATTCACATTATCGCTTCATTTTAGTAGATGTTGGAGCTGCAGGTCGTCGTAGTGATGCTGGAGTTTTTGCCAATAGCCTTATCAAAAACGGACTGGATACAAATTCTTTTAATGTTCCTGCACCATCTGCTGTAGGCAATAACTCCAACAACTTGCTTCCATTTGCTTTGGTTGGAGATGAAGCCTACCCATTAGCTACTTACCTGATGAAGCCATATCCAAGAAGTTCGAATTTGGACATACGGAAGAAAATTTTTAATTATCGTCTAAGCAGAGCACGAAGAGTAATTGAAAATGCATTTGGGATTTTGGCAGCACGATGGCGCATTTTTCGAAGGCCTATTAATATATCCGTCTCCAGAGCCAAGAAGATAGTTTTGGGTACAGTTTGTTTGCACAATTTTATAATTACAAAAGAGTTAGAAAAAGACCAACAACACCGACAGTATACAAAATTGTCAACAATATCTACTATCACAAATGTATCCAGTGGAATGAAAGATATTCCACAGTGGAAGGACAGAACGAGAAAACAGTCCGCTCATCGTTACAGAGAAAACTTTGCCGATTATTTTATGAATGATGGTGCAGTAGAATGGCGGTGGGAGAAGGCGGAAAATAATGATTTTTAATCTATATAGTTTATTTGTAATGTATAGAAATAAAATTAGAAATAATTAAAGATGTTATTTATATTAATATTTTAATATGTATTATTTAAATTAAAATTGTAAAAAAAATGTGGAAGACCTCTAGAAATATCACCATGGAAATTATTACAATTGATTACAAAGTATAAATAATTAAATGAAAACAAATGTTATTTTATTAAAATATAATTGTTCACATTTAAAAAAGTTAACAGCTTATTTATTTTATGACATATAAAAGTAATAAAATTATAATAGTATCAAATTTATCATTTTATTTGTCTGTACGATGCGCATTATATGTCTCCAAAGTAAGGCTGAGAATTTTAATTTGGAGTTCAGCTTTGACTGCAACTGAAAGAACACTCATCATCTCTTCAATACTACAAAAGAATCCTTCACTGCTGCTCTTAGCCGGAGTATTTAAAGTTTCCAAAATAGCATCTTCAAATGTAGAGTTGCCACTTGATTTTGCTCCACCTTTAAATCATTAAAAAAAGTTTAAATAGTTTGTCTTCTCGTTATTAATTTATAATTTGATAAATCATTGGGTACTTACCTCTTCTACAACGTGTCGAATCTGCACGCGAAGGTGTACTTAACACGCAACCACTGCTTTCGTCATCTAAATCGTCGGTATTTGACAATAAAGAAGCCTCATACTCATTACAAGCATCATCCAAGTTGCTGATAGTTCTGTAACATTAAAATATGTATTTTATAAGTACATTTGAGAACAAAAGTACTAAAGTTTCTATAGTTAAAATCAAGGAATCTTACGAATTATGCTCATTCAAAAATGTATTTTTTACTACTGCATCTGCTCCAGAACCACTTGCAACATACGAAGTACATCTTTTTTTTGCTTTTTTGTAGGAGTCTCTTAGATTTCTCCATCTTTTTTTGATCTCGTCAATTCCAAACGTACCTGAAAGACAATTACAATTTAATTAGTATGTAAATTACTACAATACATTTACCCACTATTTTAAATGATAACTAATGTAAACAGTTGGTTACCATCTAAATCCATTTGCACCTTTGTCCAAGCTTCTTTTATTTTCAGAGGACCACGTTCCTTGATAGGAAGAGCATAATTCCACAAACATTGTTCATGCATAACACTGTTTATGAGAATTTCATCATATTTATCCCATAAGTTCTCTTTCTTCTTTCTTTTCTTCTCTTCTGGTGCAGATGCAGGCATTAAACTACTAGTATTTTGTTCCTCAAAGTGGCTCATATTTTCATCCATATTCTTTGGACCTGTAAGCATAATGTTAATTATTACCCATTAATTTTTTGAAAACCTATAACCCTGTTAAAAAAAATACGTGTTTTTTCACGTGAAATTACAAAAACACATATTTTTTTTAATGGGGACACCATAAGAACTTTGATTACAAAGGAAAAACTACTTACCTGAGTAAACCTGGTTCATCTCGTTCACATATTAATTTTCCATTTCAGGATCATGAGTAGCAAAACATGAATGCAGCTGGTAATCAAAATTTTCAACAGGCAATTTGTAATTGCATTGCATGCATTCGTAATACTGAAACAAGAAAAACATAAATTATATTACTACTAGTGTATTGCTCATTTCTATTATTGATTTCTAAGTTACAGTGGTATAAATTACTGTTTTCATATACAAAAAAAAATAAAATAAATAAATATTTACGTTTAACAAGTTTGTCTTTACTTAATCATAATAAAAATCCTTTTAAGGTTTTACTTTTTACTACTGTTTTAATTCAATCAAAATAAAGCAAACTTTGAGGTTATATCCGTATTTTTACCACTACAGCTTTAGACACTTGAAAAATAATTATTTTTATATAAAATATTTTTTATGTACTCACTTGTAAGCAGTTATCTTGTTTTGTAGCCATTGTTCTATTTATCAAACACAACATTCATAACTTAACACACTCAATCACTACTAACAATCTAACATCCCAGATTAATTAATTTGAATTAATCTGGGCTAACATTAACCCTATTAACTACATCGACACTCGCCGTCGTCCCGTTATCGTTACGCACCTTGATGACGCACACACCACACATTTCTGGATGCGGAAACCAGCTAAGTGTGCGTCAACGCGCTGATTGGCTGTTGTCATTACGCATTGCTCATGACGCAAGTCTATTCCGCACTATCTGATTGAGCCTTTAACCTTAACCCCTATCGTCCTTAACCCTAGAATTTCATCGCCGAGTATTTTGAAAATTGGAAGTGCAAAAGTTTTCAGTTTCTGTATAATGCTGTCTGGATCTACATCACTTCCTCCACTATACACACCATGCGGAGCAGATGTTGTGGCCTATGTACCTGGTCGCTGCCAGTTACAGAATTACCTTGCGCTTCCTTAGCCTTAGCTCCAAATCTTTAACCTGCCTTTATTGTTCTCGGGCTAGGCTCTCTGGAGGCGAACCAGCTTACTTCTAGACCCGCCCTAATGATTATTTTGGTTCTCATTGGGTCTGTTATAAAATTAATAAAACAAGCAAGAAACAAACCATTGTTATTTAATTCTAGGTACCAAATTCAGAGAAAAAAAAGAAGAGAAAGAAAGCAAAGACAAGGCTCAACAACTATTCACAAATAATTTCAGATGATAAAGTGTTCAAAACAGCTTTGCGGTGGGCATTCATTTGTTCAACTTCATACAACTAAATAAAAATTTCAGTTGTTTTAGATATAATTTTTTTGATCGTACCTTTTTATAACGGTTTTCGGTTGACTTTCCAATTGCGTCATCCTAACCCTGAAGAATCTTTGTATCACTTAAATATTTACGTGCTATAATTTATGGAACATCTGGAGTACTCACACATAATTTTTACAACAGTATCGAAATAAAAACGTAGACATACCTGTCTACTTTTCAGAAATGGAAATGAATTAATTCAGTGAATACAGTACTTAAAAGATTTTATTATTAACAGTAGGTACACATTACAATTAATTATATCACAATTTTTCAACTATCATTTATTCTTTAATAATTTATATTTATTTTTTGAAACTTGTCCACAAAGTACACCAATTACAAATATACCGGCAAACACCATGAAAACAACAATAACAAAATAATTTTTTGATGGAGACGTGACAACTTGTTGATACAGATCTTGAAAATCACTTAGAGGAGCAATCTGAAATAAGATCAAAGATGTTAATTTGAATATGAAATAATTTAAAAATAATCTTACTTGTGCTGCATTTTTATACATTTCAAATCTTTCTTTCAATTTACTCTTGCACTTTGGAGTCAAAGTTTGTGATCCACTTTCCAATATTTTCTTTAAACATTGTATATCTGTAAAAAATAAATTTCATTTAAAGTCAACAAATAAAATAAACTTTCTATGTATGTACATATGTGATCCGTAATGAATGGACCATAGAGTAACTAGATATAGACAGGGTATTAAAGATTGATTTTAAGTTTATTATTATGTATTTCATAAATTTTACAGTTTTAAAGAAAATAATTTGAAAACTCGGACTGGAGGGTTTTTGATGGTGACAAATCCGAATCTGAACTCAGTTATCAGGTTACTAATAGAGGGCACTAGTGCATTTATGAATAAAAATTGCTCATCGTTATTCGTTTATGCAAATCTCTATGGCAATTTTAAATAAAAATTCTGATTGACTGATTATTTTTAAAGGAAAAAGGTATACTTGTTTGATATCGATAAAGATTTTTGCACTATGTAGGCAATGGTCAGAAAGTTCACTTGGATTAAATAATTTATGTACGAATATCTCGAAACTGGAGAAGTTTATCGATATCCAACAAGTATAGCTTTTTCGTTTAAAAATAATTAGTTAATCAGATTTTTTATTCAAAATTACGATAGAGAATTGCATAAAAAAATGCAATGTTTATTCATAAATGCATAACTAGCGCCCTCTATTTGTAACCTGATAACTGAGTTCAGATTCGGATTTGCCACCATCAAAAACCCTCCATTCCAAGTTTTCAAGTTATTTTCTTTAAATCTGTATTTATGAAATAAATAATAAATTTAAAATTAATCTTTAACGTTAAATTTGCAATGTGCAGTCAATTTAACTCGACTTGCAAAATTAGTTTGCAAAACTCTAAATACGCGGGCACCTCATGGCTCGCCTCTACATCTGTAAAGTGTTTACAGCTGTGGTCATGGACACCGTCGCGCAGCAATGAAAAACGGAGTGGAAATAACACATACCTATTTACATACTATGTAATAGTTAGTCTCTGTTTAGTCCGACCGTAACCAAATAATGTACACCGCATTTTTTTCTTAATAATTACATGCATCTAAAATAATTCTTAAAAGGGAGTGAACGGGATTAAGATCTAGTAAACTTTGTAAAGACTCTTCTTGTAAATCGAATTTTAAGTCCTTTCATGCAAGGTGTCACACTTCGGCTATTTAAAAAATTAAAAATATAACTGTTACTTAGAGGACATTCACAATGAGAATAAAAGTTTAATTTATTTTTACATTGCATTACATTTTTTATATATTTTTTTCTTTCTTCAAATAAAAAAATAAAGTAAAACTTTTTCTCTGACTGCATTTTAAAAGGATATTTTTTTTTATCAAAGTTTGTAAAATTTTTTTCGTCTGTGCATAAATGACAACACAGTAGAAAATTAAAATCTATTTTTCTCTAGAGCCACTATAACCTTCATACATGCAATAAGTAAAACACACCACAGAAATGAGATAAATAAACTGATATTTCAAAAAACACTCATGTAAACACTCCCACTCAAAAAACACTCAACACTCAAAAAACACTCATGTAAAAAAATATGGCAAAACACAAAAACTGTTTATAGTGTAAACGATCTCTACACAAGGTGTTCAGTTTTTTAGGGCTAACAATACATGTTCCTCTGACTGATTTTTTTTTCAAATAAACTCGAATTATTAGTTTTTTAAATTGCATTTTAATTCTTGTGTGCCGCTGGGCGGCGTAAACTGAGGCAACCAGAATTTGCGTATTAGTGCACTATCAGTGTTGCCAGTTGTTTTTATATCAACCAACATTCTACAAAGTTACAATAAAAAATAATTTAGTAAACAGATTGATTTTGTATAACTTAGCGACGTGTTATTTTTTCGATATCACTATCTTCTATCGTTTCTAAATAAAATTAAAAATTTGAACTAATACATAGATATGTTACTAATTGTAATTTTATTTTTGAATCAATTGTGTGAGCGCCTGCTACGCGCGTTAACCACAACGGGCGTCCGCCCCTGGGTTGGCCAGATACTTTTTGTGGATGACGTCGCAGTAACGGAAGCGTTGTATAATCTATTAAAATTAGAGTAGTATGATCTTTTGTTTGTAACAGAACAGTTGTGTAAATTGTATGGTGTTAATTGGGAGAGAAAATAAAAACGTCTTAACAAGTTCGCGAGTGTATTATTTGCAAAACTAGGAATTAGATTTTAATTGTTAGACAGGGAAGATAATGAAAAATAATTTATAAAAACAGATTGCTTTAATATGATGCTATTTTAAAATTGTTTTTATAAAATTAAAAAGTTTCACATGATGTATTAAGTATTAACCAATATTGGCATGTAGATACGTTACTAATTAAATGTAAATAAAACTAATTTGTTTTAATATAATTATTTTTGCTGTTGTAAAATATAAACACAATTATAAATAAATAAAAATACTAATCTGGTTGAAAACGGGAATGGCCGAATACGTCATCACTGTTTCATGTGGTTACATTCAGGGTTGCAAATAATGCATTAAAAAGATAATTGAATTAACATTTAAATTAAAAATTTATTTTCATTTTGTAATCCCGAAAATTTTAATTAAAAACAATTTTCAAATTTCTAATCCCAAATATCGGATTAAAAAATTAAAAATAAATTTTTAATCCCAAAAATCGGATTGAAAAATTGAAAATAAATTTTTAATCTCAACAATTGAATTAAAAATTAAAAATAAAAATTTTAATCCTAAATACAGGATTGAAAAATAGAAAAAAAATGTTAATCCCAAGTTGAATTTTAAATTATTTCGCGCTTGTGCACTTCATGTGCTACCATTCGGAACTAGAGAACTAGAGCTCGCACAGTGCCATCTTCAATTCTTCAATATTCTAGAGGTAACCTTGCCGGAGAAATTACTAGAACGTAGGTATCGGTCAAGTTTCAAGTTTATATTTTAGCACGATTTGTTTACAGTCGTCAAGCACTAATAGTATAGAAGAAAATCAAGATTTTGACTTTGGATCTCCGGATGATACCATTGACGAGTTTCGGCCCTCATTGTCACAGGGGGAGGTAACTACAGAAGTGACTAGATATTTAAAAAACTGGGACTGTCAACTTAGCGTCTTAGAACGCTTTCCAGAAATAAAAAAAACATTCTTAAGATACAACACGCCTTTACCATCTTCTGCCTCCTCGAAAGACTTTTTAGTAATGCGACAATGCTTAATTTGCCAAAAATACAATAAATTAAATGATCACCATTTTGAGCAAAGAATACTTGCTAAAGCAAATTTAAAAAAAATAATTGATTAAATTTAATGTAAAATGTCTTTAAATACCTGTATTTTTAATAAAATTTCCTCATAGTTTAACACTTTTAGTCTTCTTTACATTTAATTACTTTTAATTATAGTATTTCAGTTAGAAATATGTAAATCTTTCCTTTTTTTGTCCCTTTCCATTCCAGCTTTTGATTTGAAAAATATTTTTTTTATTTGTGACTCCAATTTTTAAATTAAAAAATATGTTATCAATTTTTAATTCTGATTTTGGGATTAAGAATTGAATTTTCAATTTTTAATTCCGATTTTGGGATTAAAAATTAAATTTTCAATTTTTAATCCTGATTTTGGGATTAAAAATAAAATTTTCAATTTGTAATTCCGATTTTGGGATTAAAAATTGAAAATTTAATTTTTAATCCAAAATTTTTTAATTAGAAAATTCACAACCCTGGTTACATTTTTATTTTAGTTTTCGACTTTATCGGTATTATCCCGAATATGAAAATGATTGGTGTAAACATTTTAGAGATTATGGGAACTTCGATCGTCAATACGCTAATATTAAACGGAAATAAACTGAGAATGATAATTTGGAATCAAATTTTTTAAATACCGTGGAAGAGGATCCCAGTACCAGCATGGTATTTTCGTTATATCATGCAGTGTCAGTACCTACTGCAAGGTTAGCAACAAAATTTCAAATATGTCATATGTTGTAAAAATCAGGTGAATAGTATTTACTTGTTTTTGTGTATTTCATTTATTATTATTGATTAGTGATTAATTTTTCTGTTAGATCACTGTTAAGTACCGTTTCATAGTTTATCTTATTTAAAAGAATTAAATTTTCATTTATGTGGGATGACAGGTTTCCTGGCGAACACCCACTCAACAAAAGCAACGCACCAAAGAGCAGTACCTCATGCCAGGTGGTGTGGAAATTTACTTAACAATTTTTTTTCTAGGTGCTGCTTCGATATTCTATACAAATGAATTATAGTGAGGAGACCAAACGGAAACAGCATACACAAGCTTAGATCTAACAAAAGAAAGATATAAAATTTTTAGCGTGTTTATTTTGACACAATCTTTACTGTTTCTGACTATGAAACCATACGACTTACAACCTTCAGATATTATTTTTTCAATGTGCGAATTGAAATATATATAAAAATAACTTCGAGATCGCAAAAAGTGCGAGGTCGAGTTAAAGTAATACCTCTAAAATTATAGTCAAACATGTTTTCAATGGTTCAGAATATTTTCAATTATCAGTATAGAGAAGGTAATTAATATCTAAGCAACTGGTTATATATATATTGATGAACATGGCCCAAGAACAGATCCTTGCGGGACTCCCGACGTGGCTAAGTAATCTACAGACTTACCCTTTAAGTAAGCCTTCGAAAAGTATGTGTAAATAACATCTGTTTGCAATTGTTTATCAATGGATTTTGCTATAGTCTGTGTAGCTGTTACTAAATTAGAAGTTGTCTCTACCTTTCACAAGTCCATGCTGACGAACTGAAATTTTTAACTGACACTATAATACATACTGATGACTGTGAAGTGAATACTCAAAAGATTTTACTGAAATTATATAAAATAGAAATTGGACGAAAATTTTTTAAATCTTTTTTATTTGCTTTTTTATAGATAGGGCAAACTCTTGAGTTAGTTGGTGTTAGTAAGTGGAACTGTAATATTATGGTTTTAAGGTTGGTAATCTAATCCTTGTGCGTAGCCAGGATTTTAAATAGGGGTGGGCCCAGGGCTCCAAACTCTAAAATAAAAAAGTCACGCAATCAGCGACCTACCGATATAAAATTTCAAAACCTAATCACTTTTTGAAACTTGCAGCAACAATTAGAGGAGGCTGCCCCCTGACCCCCTGGCTATGCCCATGACCTAATCAGTTAGCGAGTAGGATCAATCTACCACAAAATGTGTAAAACAATAAAAATATAAAACTGTCACCCTGTATTTCAAAAACAAAACATTTGTGATCTTATATTTATATGAACCTTTTCAGAGAATCAGCTACAGAATCATGTATAATGCAATGTATGTAGGTATATCTTAATCCTATAGATTAGATTTAAAATTTTTAATCTAATACACTTACGCCTTCCATTTCCTTGTGGAACATTATTACAAAAAGTTAATAAATCAAGAGCACACGTTCTCTGCAGGAGAGGGTCTACTTGAATATCGGCTTGGGACTCTTCAATCATATTTGCAACTTCAAGACTACATTCTGGTGTGGGAATTTTTTTCTTAATTAGTGCATTTTTCAAGCATTCTTCGACCTTCCCAGAATCTTCCTCATCAAATTTACAAATTGTTTCGATCTCATTTTTACAAACAACTTTAATAAGGGGATTGAGATTAACATACAGAGCTTGTTCTCTCAATATTTCAGCCATTTCTTTTTCACAGGTATCGGATAGTTTGAACGACTTGAATTGCACTTTTAAACATTTTATCACAGAGTCGGTTATTGACTTCTCATTTGATAATAATTCGTTCTTGCAAAATTTTTTTATATCCATACTGCAATTTTTTTGAAGAGATGGATTTAATAAGTAATTCACATTTTGTTCCATCATGCGATGCAACACTATCATACGACACTTTTTATCGAAACCTTTCTCGTCTTTATTTACCTAAAAAACTTCATTTTATTTGGCCACACCATATGCATATACCTTAAAGATACCTAAGGCAGAGACACTATGTTGTCAAGTTTTATGCTGTCTCAAATGACAAACTAACAATATGATTTTGTACACATTGTACACATTGCACACACTAGTCAAACATAATGGAAAACATTCTAGTGTTGTGTCCACGTGTTCCTTTAGGGGCATGATAGTGGAGCTAATTTGAAAAAGAACCATGATACGTACTATATAAATCTCAGTAATTTTGATATTTTGATGAAACGCAAATGCTTCAACGTAATATCTGATTAACAAAAAAGTAACAATTTTTTGTTAATACTACTATGATCTGTATTAAAAACAGAATAAAACAAATTATGTAATAAAATTTATGATAAAAATTTTGATATAATACACAGTTGGCAAAAAAAAATAAATCCGACTATACATTCATGTGCATGTATTTCTAAAATTTCCTTACCTTTCGATTGAGATGTTTACATATACAAAATTTCTCTGTTCAGGATAAATATAGAGGTATCTCAACCCACTACAATTTATGAATTATGTACGTAAATAAGTACCTAATGTTTACTAAAACATTATATTATGTCATTCACAAGGCAAAGAAGCATATAAATAGTTTATATGTTTAATGTATTGTTAAATTTTAGAAATACATTTACATAAATGTAGTGTTTACAATATACAGAGTGTCTCTAAAGGGTCTCTACAATGTTCCACCAGATAAAATAAGTGATTTAACTAAACTTGCCTTAGTTCAAAAATTGATAATAACGGAGCTACAGGGTGTCAACGTTGAATAAATAATTAACATTTTCTGTAATATGTTTCGACTAGTTCGGGGGATTTTTGGGATGAGAAAAACGAATTTATCAACGATTTCGCTGTTTCTCTTAGAGGGCGCCACAAGCGACCATTTGCACGCATTTAAACTTCCAAAACTTCTTTGTACCACTGTGAATTTCACTTTGAGCTGGAAAAATCTTTTCCCCCAACTTTTCTGCTTAAAAACGTATAGCTTGCTAATATCTCTAAAGCCAACCTTGTGCAACAAATAGACATTTAAATTTCTAAATGAATAAAGAAATTTGTTTAAAAGTTATTTTCAACTCCATTGAAAGATATCTTTTAAGACAGTTCAATAACAAAATTAGTTATTTTTTAGATTTTTAGATCGTTTAAATTGGTTACATTGTTTAGACTGTGTTAGATTGATATATTGTTTTTAAAAAGTATGTTTTTTTACTTTGTCAATTCAGTTTGCAGTAAAATTGTTAAATAAACGAAATTTAAAATTGTAATAGCACTGTTTCCTTCAACGGTATATTTCTGACTAATAAACGATTGCTCCTAATTTTGTTTATCAGTGGAGATGGAAATAACTTTTAAACAAATTTTTTATGCATTTACAAATTTAAATACCTCTTTGTTGAAAACCATAGAGATATTAGCAAGGTATACCTTTTCTTATACTTATTTTAAGCCGTACTATATCTGGTGGAGCATTTTACAGGCTCTTTAGAGACACACACAACANTTATGTACGTAAATAAGTACCTAATGTTTACTAAAACATTATATTATGTCATTCACAAGGCAAAGAAGCATAGAAGTAGTTTATATGTTTAATGTATTGTTAAATTTTAGAAATACATTTACATAAATGTAGTGTTTACAATATACAGTACAGGGTGTATCTAAAGGGTCTCTACAATGCTCCACAAGATATAGTAAGGCTTAAAATAAGTTGATTAAACTTGCCTTATTGTTAGTCCAAAAATTGATAATAACGAAGCTACAGGGTGTCAAAGTTGAACAAATAAATAACATTTTCTGTAATATGTTTCGACTATTTCGAGCTAATTTCGTGAAATTTAGTATCCGGAGGTTTTTGGAATGAGAAAAACGAATTTATCGACGATTTCGTTCTTTCTCTTAGAGGCCGCCACAAGCTACCATTTGCACGCATTTAAACTGCCAAAACTTTTTTGTACCACTGTGACTTCACTTTGGGCTGAAAAAATCTTTTCCCCCGACTTTTGTACTTAAAAATGTATACCTTGCTAATATCTCTAAACCCAACCGTTTGCAACAAATAGGCATTTAAATTTGTAAATTAATAAAAAAATTAGTTTAAAAGTTATTTTCGACTCCATTGAAAAACATATCTTTCGACAGGTCAATAATAAAATTAGTTATTTTTTAGATTTTTGATCGTTTAGATTGGTTACATTGTTTAGATTCTGTTAGATTGATATATTGTTTTCAGAAAGTATGTTTTTTTACTCAATTCTGTTTGCAGTAAAATTGTTACATAAACAAAATTTAAAATTGTAATAGCACTGTTTCCTTTAACAGTATATTTCTTGCTAATAAACAATTGCTGCTAATTTCGTTTATCAGTGGTGTTGAAAATAACTTTTAAACAAATTTTTTTAAGCATTTACAAATTTAAATACCACTTTGTTGAAAACTTTAGAGATATTAGCAAGGTATACCTTTTCTTATAGGTACTTATTTTGAGCCGTACTATATCTGGTTGAGCATTTTACAGGCTCTTTAGAGACATACACAACAATATAGGTCGCATTTCTCAATTTAAAATATGATATGATTTCATATTAACTACCATCATGCCCTCAAGTCATCCTGTTTATTATGGACCAAAAAATTAGTACAACATGAAATGTTTACATTTTTTAATATATTATTTGCAATGTGACAACTATGTGCCTCTGTTTATAGTTACAAATGTGAATAAAAAAAGTATACAAGAACATGCACTTTTTATTCAATTCAAACACTTAAGTGATTATTTTGGTTCCTTCAGATAACCTTATTCTTTTAGTTTATTACCAAAAGAAATATTACACAGTACTTAATTACTAATCTAATAACAGACTAAAAAAAATTCGCAAATTTTTATGATGTAAATTTTCCTACAAAGCTGATTTGTTTGTACTACTAAAGTTCATTCATTTTCAAGATGCAGTGAATGTATACATGCAAGAGGCAAGTGGACAATACAATTGCACAAGGTTATACATATTAAGAATCCCAAAAATGATTTATACAGGATATCCCAGAAAATAATTGTAATACATCGACCACATATTCCTCAGTTAAATACAAATGAATCCGAGTTAACTTGCCTCAGACCAAAAATGCTTAATTTAAAAGTTAGAGGGTGTTAAAATTTTACTTTTTAAATGGTTTTTAATTAATACCTGAGAACTGATATACAGTGTACCATTCATATTTCAAAAAAATTTGTGCGCAAGTTCCTCATGGGAAAATAATGGGGGCAGTTCATTCAGCGTTTTTTTCTTAGACGCCCTGTTTTCGATATACAGTATGTTGTAGTTGTTACTTTCTAAATGGTTTTCCTTAATTATCTTTAAATCGACTAAAGATAAAAATGTCAAAATTTGTACATGACTAACAGTGGAAATGTTCATAGCAAAATAAATTCATAGCAAAATGTTCATAGCAAAATAAATTTATTTTAATACTTTAATAGTTACTTCACAATATTATCTATTACATAGATTAGATTTACGAAACACATTAAAAAGGAATTGTTAAATTTATAACATGAAGTCAATTTAACTCGACTTGCAAAATTCATTTGGAAAACACTGAAAAGTGTGTACAGCGGTGGTTATGGTTACCGTCGCCCAGTAGTGAAAGACGAAATGGGAGTGGCGCATATTTACTATTTACAGTTTTGAAAGTAATTGAAAAATTTATTTCGGACAAAAGCAGAAGAATGGACTTTCAATCCAAAAAAAAATATGTTAAAAGTCAAAATTTGTTATATTTCTACACGGTTTTGTAAATTTTAAAGCATACTAAAAAAAGATAAACTTGTCGAAATTCGGTAGCATGTAGGTATCATTTTCGAGAAAAATGAAGTTGCATTTTTATGCTCACATAAAACGGCACAAGTATTGAACGTATTGTATTGTATTGTATGTATTGTATTGAATATACCAATAGTCTGCATTTAAGAATATAATTTTAATTTCTTATGTATCACATAAAACAGTTAATTTGTAAAACATTTTATTAACTTAAAGAAATAAAAAAAAATAAATTTATTTTAAATAAAATAACAAAACTCGAAATACATACTGCAATAGATGCTTAAATTGTCCCCCATTTTCTTCTGTGAACATGGTACCAAATTTCGACAACTATACCTTTTTTTTTGGAGTATGCTTTAGAGTTTACAAAACCGTTTAGAAATGTAACAAATTTGGACTTTTAACATATTATTTTTTTCGATTGTACTCCTCAAATTGCCTATATCAGCGACACTGCTTTTTAGAAAGAAATTGTTTGTTTGCACAGTTGATATTTACTTGTATACAAATTTTGACATTTTTTTCTTTAGCTGATTTAAAGATAGTTAAGGAAAACCATTTGGGAAGTAACAATTTCAACACACTGTATCTCGAAAACAGGGCGCCTAAGAATATACGTCACCCATTATTTATTTTCCCATGAGGAAGCTGCAGGTAAGTTTTTTTGAAACATGAACTGGACACTGGACACCCTCTATAATATCTAATTCAAATTTGATATATGTTATAAGGTCGCAAAAAGCAATATCAGTGGCATACAGGGGAATGTATAACTGTCCCTTTTTAATATTTTCCCAGCTTAGGGATCACTTAAGGAAAACAACTTCATTTCTGAATTATCTCTAGATTTTGCGCAAAAAAATGTCTTGTCAATTTATTTTAAAATAGTTAGATTTTGAATAAAAAGGGAAGATTCAATTTACTGCTTAGAAAAAAAAAATAGAAGTTTAAGATATCAATTGACTGTATATCTAGGAAATTAAATATTTTGACAATATGTTTATATGAACTTTTTTATTCTTTTAAGATTAATCGATTATACAAGTTTTAGAGATATTTTCTGGGAGCCCCCCAGTTTCTGCCTCTGAATGAATTTATGTACTTATACCAAAA